AAGAAAACCCAATCCTGATTCAAGAGGAAATTCTTCTCTAGATCTAACCCTGTGTCATAGCATGCACTTCAATTCATCCAAATCCCTCTCATGGTGACAATCCTTGTGTCAAATTCGGAAGCAAAATGTACAGTAATTCAGTTAGTTAAGTTACCCTTATAGTGCCCATTTTGACCATTGAGTTCTTGATTCACCACAAGGAACACTTTACTGACTTAAAAGACTAGACTTCCCAGGCAAAATGCTGCCTGGACAAAACTTCATATATGAGAGAGAACGAATGACGATGGGTATCATGCATCATCTTCATGTATTGCTTTATTTCAGCTCATGTTCCTGAAAGCCCCTGGACAAAACAGCACTTATGTTAAAATCTTAAAGTAAGTGAGAATAAAGCATTTGTTTAAATTTTTTTAAATGACATGCATATATGAGGAAGCATAGTGTATTGGGGATAAGAAGAGTAAAAGTCCTTCAGAGCGATTCTTAACTGGTTGCAAATGCTCCATTTAGTGTGGTTTTTATTTTTCTTTTTTCCTTAAATTATCAGAAAAATTAAAAAAAAAATCTTATGTGGGTGTCATTTTAAAAAACAATGTGTTTTCCAAGGAAATGATTGTCACAGCTCTTATGCTTGTTTTGTAGATTGCTACTTGAAAACTAAATCAAATGGGTTTTGGATTTTTAAAGTTTTTCTCTTTAAGTATATGTTACTTTTACACACCTCATCTATTATATTTATGTTGGTATTACCTTAGAGGTTTAAATGGTACCATTTACATATTTTATCCAATTCTCTTATGTTCACTTAGTGAGGTAGAATAAAGATTTTTTTTTTATAAATGGAGTAGCTTGCTAGTTGTAGATAAACTACTGTAAGTGGGACTAAAAGGAAGGCATGTGGTTCTTCAGGAGAGATAACTATATTGGGTTTATGAAAATAACAATCTTAAATAAATACCATGCATGTTTTAGTTTGGAATCCAAACAGATGTGAACATATGTGGAGGCTGAAATGGCTTTACTGCAGGAGAGGAAACTAAGCATGTGTGCTTTGTACTGTTAGTGAAGTGTGTGATCTTCTCAAATAATATTTATTTGCTTTTCCATGCCTTAAATGTGTGCCAAACACTTTGAAATATTTAATCTACGTTGAGTTCTTTTTTTACTTCATTGTAATGTGCACAGTTTTTACTTCTGGCAGGATGAAGTGCCTTTCCCTGTTACCGTTAGCATAGGCCTAGCTATTTAGGAGCGTTGGGCTCACTGTGGGAGCGGGGCCTCTGGCAGTCATGATGTCCTAGCTGACTGCCTGAGCCTGCCTGGAAATCTTCTCTCTTCTTTCAGCTGGGAAGTTAAGTTAGTTCTTAATGGCTTCCAATGGGTTCCAAGACTGTCCAAGACTGTTTCCAAGACAAGGGATAGACATCCAGGAAAAGAAGATACTGCATACCAGTGCCATGCCCGAGTACCAAGCCATCTTCATTTGACCTTTTGGGCAAGCTACTTTTATCTGAAAAATTTATCAAGTGCCACTAATATAGGGAAATGATGCATTAGCCAGAGAAGAGCAACATAGGGCAGATGAGCCTGGCCTGATTCTAGCTTTCTTACACGTTCACAACTAGGTATCGCAGCACCTTATCTTCCTTTTGGGGACTTTGTTTCCTTTCCACTGTTAGGATATGTAGTGGCTTATTGCTGAGCCAAAGGGGCGCAGTATTGCATTTTACTCCAGGAATCATCTTCGGGTGAAACTGTGGCAGAAGAAAGTGTCTAGTAAGCAATTTATTCTGTTCTGTTTAGGATGTTAATTGTTGGTTAATAAGTGGATGTTACTCTCAGATGATACAAAAGTAATAATCTTTCTTCTGTCTTCCAGCTTGCTTTACTGATATCTACTGGTTTAGTCTCCTTCATGCTTTTCATTTCTTTAGTGTAAATATAGGTTTCTGAAATAAAATGCATGATCTTTATTTTTATTTTTATTTTTTTGTAAACACATGGAAATCACTGGAGAAATAAGATGCTAAGTTATCATTCAAGCAAAATGTCTTTTACAATGGAAAGTTCTCTTGTGTTTAGGACAATTTTGATGATATCAGAGAGCACAAAGTGGCTGGTGTGGAGCCAGAATCTGGCTCCTGACTGTCAGAATTGTCTACTTGCTTGCAAACAGGCCTGTCTATGTGCAAATGTAAAAACAAGAAGAAAGCATTATTATGATGTACATATATGGTAAGGTGGCATACGTATATAGCTTTTTTTTTTTCTGATGTGATCAAACCAAGATTGATTCTGTAATGTATTAATAGATTTTGTGGGTTTTTGTTTTTCTGTGTAGAAAATGTGCACAGACAGAATGTCTTGTCTGAGTGCTTGAAAGAAAGGACTCAGAATTGCCAGTAGATGCTCTGACAAACTAAGGCTTGAGCCTGCAGCGCAGAGGCAGCTCGTGGCGCGTTGAGCAGAGCGCAAGACGTGCCAGGCAGCCCTTTCCCAGGCCTTCTGGGAGCTGAACACAGCGAGAGGGAGGCTTTGCCTTCTGCCTTGTGTTCCCCCCTTCTGGCTAGGACACAGATACTCCACAGTACACTAAGGAAAGGTCAAGATGTTAATGGGTATTTCATGATAGTATTTGGCTTCTCGGCTTTCTCAGGCACGTCTTTACAAGGCAAGCGCAAGCAAATTTGCAATTATGTGTTTGCCGTGGGCCTCACTGGGAGCCAAAATTTCCCTGACCTGAAACATTCACCAGAATTTGAATTAGTGCTGCCCAATTAACTAACGGCTGTCGTTAAACACTACAAATCTGAAAATAGCCTATTTTCTTCTGCACCGTGAACTGAGAACTGTTCAGACCAAGCTAAGAGGAGTTGCAGTGGCAGATGAGTAACGTGGCGTTCCCAGCCTGTTACTGCCGGCACCAGTGACAAGTGGAGCTGCTTGTGCTGACACCTCGGCTGGTATCCATGCAACAGCTTTCATCTTTCAGGGGAGGCAAGCAATGTTTTGTATGGAAAACTGGAGCTGCTTCTGCAGCAAAAGCTACATTGTGTGCTGCAACCCAGTACCTTGTGAGTTCAGGAAAAAGATTTCCTTAGGGCCTCTAGTAAGGGAGATATGTTCTCTTGCAGAGGATGTCTAGGTTACTTTTAGATCCTATGTTTTAGGAACCATGCAGCAAAAGATGAACTTCGGGAACGATGGTGTCAGCAAAGCCCAGTCTGGGGGTCTCTGTGCAGCTGGGCTGTGGGGTCAGGCCCCCTCTGAGCAACCTTGTGGCCAGGCTGCCAACACTGGCTGTCTGTATTCCTGTCCTGTATTCCCTTTCACGTAGTGCTTCTAAGGAAGAGGGGAGGAATTGGGAAGTGTGGCCTGAGAGGTGCGGAGCTGCACTTCCCTGGTCCTGTGGATGGAAGGGATTTCTCGGGACACCTATGAAGCGCCTGAAGGAGCGGCGCAGCTGGCTGGGCGCCCTTCATCCTCCACTGTCCCATGTAGTTCTATGCATGTATGTAATAAGACCTGAAAAGAAAATAAGGGGAAGGACAAGAAAACCACAATATGTATAGAAGACTATGGACATTGACTTGTATTTATTTTTGTAGATTCGATAAAAATACATTTAAACTGGAAGTCTATATATTCTGTATTTCAATAAATGTAATCTGATTCTCCCTCTAGTCAGTGGAAGGAATAAGGTATATTGATGTTACATCTAGAGAGAATTTCAAGCATTTAAAATTTTATTTTGAATGTCTTTTGCATTTGCCTCTTAAATTCTCATTTAATTTACCCCCTGATGCAGTGCTTTGTTGCTTCCAAAGGTTAGGAATAAAAGGCTATATTGACTTTACTTTAAAATTTTTGAGGTAATTGAAATTGTCTAGCAGGGATAAAAATTTCTCTAGAAAAAAGATATCTTAGCAATTAAGAGTAGTATCACAGTACAGTGTGCGATGCTCAACACATAAAGGGACTAAAGAGATTTGCTAAAGAGATTTGCACTGGCAAGTCTTAATACCTGCTGTGCTCAGCACAGGTACTTTTGAGCAGAATGGTCACTTCTTTGCATGATGAAGTGCTTCAGCGTATCAACAGAAACTCTCAACTTTCTCAAATAAAGCCTGGCCAGTGGCCATGCCATCCTGAACCTGCCACAAGTGCACACAGCCCTCTGGGCAAGAAGGAAGCAAAGTAAGTGACCAAGTCCTTTTTATAGAAAAAAGTATCAGCTTTCACAATCCCACTGCTTCTGCAACTTTTGTTGAACAAATACTCTTTTCTAAACACTTAAAATAATCAAGTAAAGGCCAGGGTTCTGACTCCCGCATTCAGTTTAAATCCAGTTCTTCACTACAGGTTCATTTTTTAATGTTTGGGACATGTGCCGTGGATGTCATTATGCAGATATGATCCTGAGGGTGCAATTCAATAACTAAGGAGGGTATATTTTTAGTTAATACAATTCTTAATGTAAATTCCAAAAAGAAAGAAATAATAAGCTTTTAAAAGTAAAGTCTCTATGAATGTGTCCACATTTCTGACGCAGGGAAGACCTTTCGGGGGTTATGCCAATGTAACATGCCTTTATAATGTTCAAAATTTTATCATTAAGAGTCTCTTAATCTAAATTTATATGAAGTAGATTACCTGTATTTTCTGTGTGCATAAGCTGATATACAACTACTGCAGTTTTAAAAGATGAATCTTTGTCCTGCACAATTTTGAGAATGTAGTTTATCCTCTACATTTGCCTAATGCAGTTTCCCTGACTACAAAATAGTTTTTTTGCCAAATGGTGTATGCAAATATTTTGTGAGATGGTCTGCACCTTTGCAAAAACTAGGGCAAGCTCTACAAATAATGTCAGGTAATCAATCAGATTTTTTTTTCCTGAAGTAGTGTGAAAAAACAAATGTATTTTTCAGCAGATGCTTTTCTGATATTTTTATGAAAGCCCTAATCACACCGTGTGTCTGTCACTTCACCCACAGGTACATTTACATCCCAATGGGAGGATCTCAGGCTAGCACGATTGGGATGCTCTTTTCCTCAGCGCTCACTTTTGCTTTTGTGAGCTACTGGCATGGAGGCCAGAGCTACCTTTGGTACTGGGGGACTTTTAACTGGCTCGGACTAATTGTGGAAAACGGCATCAGGAGGCTACTCTGTGCTCCATCCATTCAGCACTTAACCGTAAGTTGAAACTCATTTCACTTTGTCTTCGTGATTTCCTCTCTTTGTGCTCACTTGAAGTAACTGGCTTGGTGTCAATCTAGGTTAAAGCTTAATATTTTCTTCCCCACGCTCTCCTATTTGAAGCAAGCGATGAAATGAGAACTTGGCAATGTATCAGTTAGGCAAACATTGAAATGTGCAGGGGCTTAAAGGCTTCCTGTGCAATTCTAGAGTAAGCAACAGCTTGTCAATATATGGCTAAACAGAAACAGCTTTAATACATGGATTATGATTTCATTCAATTTTAATCTTCACTAAAATTAGGAGTTTACTTTTCTAACCAAGCGTATATTGGACTAATGCATGGGTAGCAGCCGTTTGCATTTGAGAGCATGGTTGCACTGGGAATCTTATGCCACTAAAGAATCAAATAAAGAAAATTTTATTTTGCCTTGATATTTTCACATAGTTGGGACCTTTGTGCTCTCATTCCAAAAGGAAAAAAAAAACTTTAACATACAGTCATTTTAGTCTGCAGGCTTGCTCAGTATTCAATCCCAAATCTTCCAGTAACTATTTGTAAGAATAAATAATCCCTATAACTCATTTTTTTAGGAGTGATAAATGCCTGGAAATCTTACTTCTATACAATACTGTGATGGTGATTACTCATTTTCCAATCAAATGAAGTCCTAATGCTGAAGTAATTATTGTGCTTGTTCTCCAACCTCCTTCCGCCTCCTTCCCCACTTTTAACTTTCATTGCTGTGGGATCCTGTGTGTGGCAGTTGATACATCTAAGTGATTTACTGACTGGTAACAGGCAGTACAACCTTATATCATCCATCTGTTCATCACAGTGAAACTGGTGAAAGTTGAGAGGCTGCCTTTTTCCTTCCTGGAGAAAGAATTTATCAGATCTATTAATCTGGGTTCTAGGAAACAGAATTTCCCCCTCTCGCACCTGCATGTGTTTGTCACTGGACTGGGGAACAACATAGTTTTAGGCATCCAGCTTTATGGGGAAGACATAGGTATAGTCTTTTTCTGTACTCACTATCACTGTTTGAGAAGTTTGTGAAGCTCTATGGAGCTTAAATGCCATTATAATGATAAGTATGTGGCTTTTTTTAAGATGGGGTTGTGTGTGTTGGGTTAATGAACTAACACATAGCTCTCATTGCAGTTAGACAGTGCTGGTAACTGTGTTCCTTTTTGCAGAAATTAAATCCCTAAATAGGACCAAGTTCATTTTCCCCTTCTCCTTTCCTGCGCTATCATCCAGTGGCCTAGTTAGTGGCCTAGGCAATTTCTTCCAAGACTCCCTTGTTTCCCACTTCTGTTTGGAAGCATCGCTGTAGGCCATCCTTAGAAGTAATGACAACATTTTTAATATGAATAGCATCTGAGTTCTTATAAAGAATAAAGTGCTTCCTCTGAATTGGTAAAGTGAGCACATCCTGGGCTGCATGTGATTATGCTCGAGTCAAGCTTTGCCTTGTGTCTTGAAGGTCCCTCTGCAGCAGTGCTGGCCAGGAGCGTGGCCACCCACCCCTGGTGGCGCCTCCCTCACTCTTCTCCCAACTTGTTTTCTTCCTGGAAGCTGACACGTACGAATTGTTGCAGATGAGCTAGTTGGACTCCTCCTGGAGTGTGTGATGTTCTGTAGGAAACACAACAGTAACTTCCCTATGATGTTGTCTCTCATATTTTTTTTTCCCTTATCATCTGACTCTTGTTACTTTTGGAAGCATTCCCATATTACTGGATCACTGCAAGCCCAGTCACAGTGGTTTGGGGACCTCATTTCTGGGTGAAGATTTTTCCCTTAGATATCCTCTGCTGACAAGCTGAAGTCCTTTGCAAGCTTGTGCTTCGCTCAGTGTGTTGCCTCTTGCCTTTTTTTTTTTTTCTCCTTCTCCCCGTCTATTTACCAGAGCTATATTGTTGTTACAGTTGAGTTATAGCTGTTAGTTGAGCTGAAGGTGTTCATTTGGTAAAAAAAGATTTAAAAAATAAGCTTAAAAAACAAGTTGATTTTAAATTCTACTCTGATTTTTAGAATAAATTGGTTGCAAAACAAGTTACTAAACTGCATTATTTTTCCCCTGTATTCTCTCACTTCTCGTGCAAAAGAAGGCACATTAAGAAATCTGAATAAAGCCCTTTTGTGTTTTTGTTGTTGTTGTTCATTACTCTTTGTGCTGACTAAGAATATATGTATATTCTCCAAAAAGAATTGGGCCCATTTATAGAGATTTTATGGTAGCTTAAAGCTCAGAACCTCAAGCATAACACAGTATGGGCAAATAACACTTCTGCAGCTTTAAATTCAACCTGACATTCTCAGGCAAACTGGAGTGACCAAGGAAGCATAGGCATTATTCATGAGAAGTAAAATCAGTGTATAAGCAAAACTCTCCCTAGTAAGTTCTCTGACCTGAAGCATTTGATCTGTGGCTTTTCATTTTTGCTGGTTTCAAAAAGTGCCTGGCTTCCTCAGTTCAGCTCTAAGAAAGCTGATTATTTTTCTTGTGTAGTTTGCAGCCTCAGTTGCTTATATTTTCTTTTCTCCAGTGACTACTACTGTTCGATATTAGTAAATTAGAGCTAAATTCAGTAATATTTCAATCCTTTTCATCATAGCACTGTATATGTAACAATAATTCATGTGCAGCATAAGATAGGCTGGGAGCTCTGCTTTAAAAAAACAGAGAAGTTTTACTAAATTTTATCAATTCTTCTTTTTATTCTTTGTTGAGATATTTAGAACTCTACTGAGCAAAGCAGCATTGTATTTCACTGTATTAATTTCTTGCATGTGAACAGACACTGCAGTAGTAACTCATTTGAAATCAGTGACAGAATTGCTATTGATTTTTAATAAACAATGAATTGGAAATAAAGTGTCAATGTCTAAGATTCTTCCAGTGATTTCATTATTTACCTCTCCTCCATTTGCTCGAGGAAAACCAAATATAGATTTGCACAAGACATTGGATCTTGATTTAAAAATCCTTTTACAATGATTTAAACCTCAGAATAGCTGACATGTTGAAATTAATGGATTTCTTAAAAAGGAAACATTTGGAAAATATCCAAAAGAAGATCTAGCAAAGAGGATGAAGTTGGCAGATTGTTAAATTTAATTTAATGTTTTTATCTCAATTGAAACAGTATAACTTAGTTTCTTCATAGTAAAGTAAAAACTTTGCATTCAGTCTAGCAGGATTTTTTTTTAATTGTGGGACATAAAGATGTCTCTTCTAAAGATCATACTATAATGAATTTCTGGTTCAATATCTTGTTTTTGGCTTTATTTAATAAAGAACTAAATACACCATAATTCAATTTGGGAAATCAACTGATTTTAAGCATGCCTTATTTTAAAGTAACTTCCACTCTTCTTTCAAGTTTTTGTTTTCTGAAAGTATAAAAAAAGCTCAGATTCCAGTGTATCATTTAAGGCAGGGGCAAGGTGCACTAACTAAGTGTGTTTCAGTGCACTGGAAACAGATCTTCAGTAAGATCTCTGCGATAATTAAAGGCCCCGCTCAGCTGTTCTTTCGCACATTGTTGGCTTTGATCTTTATTTTGCTTTATTCACTGTAAGAATGCTTACACTGCTGATTTACAAATGTCAGGAGCCTGGCTGGTCTTTTCTTCTTTACTAATAATTTCATATAATTCCTGCATGTTTTTGTTGCAGTATGATCACTCGCCTAGGTGACAAGCATTTCCAATAATCCTTTCCTCTCAATCTCCTCATATCCTTAGTGTGTGGTTTGGTTTGACTCTTCACTCTCCGATAATCTGTAAGAACAGAGGGTGAGGGAGTTGAATAAAGTACTTTAATCAGACCCTTACTCTTCAGTGCAGAAGTGTTTTGGGGAGTATAAGCTGGGAAACCCCAGCCCACCGGGTCTCTGGGCCTGGCATCACACTCCAAAGAGCAAATAGTAGCATCCTGCCTTCATGGAGGAATGGCCCAAGGGTGGAATGCTCTCTAGCTGGGACACCTCCTGCCCACCCTCACCTTGACGTCAGCCGGATCACGGGCCTAACCAGGCCGGCTTGCTCTTGTGCAGAACAGATGTTCTCGACTCAAGATCAATAGGATCTCTTGTCCCTGCATGTGAGCATTAGCCAGACCAGATTTGTGATGACTGAAGTCCCACAGTATCTGGGAGCAGCAAGCTCGGTTATCAAGGTGGAGGTGCCGTTTCATACAGAGCTGCTGAACAACCTTCTAAGATGAATCTGGGCAAAACATGTTCTTCCACCTGCCGTGAGAGCAGCATTGCAAGTGGCTGATGTGAATGGTGTGTTAAGGATACCTGATGCATCCTAATTTTTTTCAGTGACTTAGAACTTTGGCAAATCGTAATTCTGAGTCACACACTGACTCGTGTGCCTTTTCTTAAAGAACTGTTTGTCTCAGACCCTGTAACAAAGACTAAAAACTAAAAACCTGGTAGGCGCCTTGTGACAAGGTGACTTGCATCAGGGATGAGCATCTGCTATGTGATGCAGGCTTTAGTACAGCAAATGACAAATGCAGCTGACATAAGACTTCAGTGATAATATTCTATCATTTCGTGTCTTTTAAGTGCTAGCATTTCTTTTTCCTTTGTCAAATCTGTGTGAAATATTAATTATTTTTGATGCCAGCAATGGGGAAGCTTTTGTAATTTCTCATCTTTCTTTGCTAGACGACTGTGCGGCAGTGTCAGCTGGGAAGCCCTCGCAGCAGCCGCTCGGTTGCCATAACAGGTCTGTGTTCCTCCCACCAGGCAGCACTGTCGACTTCCCGCTCTGCTTGGGGCACAGCAGGCACTTTGCCGGGGCTCAGGCTGGAATGCAGGCTGCAGAGCAGGAAAGCAGGCTGCGGGGCGAAGACGAGGCAGAGCGATGCTGCGCGTGCGCTGCGCTGCTGCGTTAATACAGGGCCTCACTGCAGTTCAGTGGAAAAATGAGTCCAGACAAGAGATCTCAGCATTTATGGAAATGCAAGTGAG